ATTTATCTTTCAGGACAAAGGGCAATCTGGAGAACTCCAAGTAAGTAAAAGCATAGACATAAAAGTTTAGATAGTAGTTTTACAGATGTTTGCTACAGAGGGTCTAGCCTTCTCTATTTATGGACTGCCAATCACAAATAAAATTCACCCTTAAGAAGAATGACTTCCCTTTTTTGTGTTTGTTTTGGGCAATTTTTATTTTAGTATTAAAAGATCATTCATTAATGTACTTAGTTTTGTGCTACACAACAGTAAGTTGTTTACTGGAGAAATTTCAGTCAAGAAAAAGAAATAGGAAAGCATGAACCCACAACACCTTATGTCTTGGGTTCCAACATATAACACAGGAAAAACTAAGAGATTATTTTCAGGAAAAATAATCTAAACTTGGACATTCTATAACTCCGGAATCCTAAAAGTATAATTAGAACTGTAAAGCTTGTAATTTTTTTATAATTTAGTTTTTGGTGTAGTTAAATATCAATGCATGAGCTAATTAGATCAGACAACTTGAAGCATGTGGTAGGTAGTCTGGTTCATGTTAAGGTTCACATTTCTAAGAGAAAACAAAGGGAAAAAGAAAAACACTAATGTCAGAAAAGAAATTCCAACTTGGGATCACAGGATCAAAAGCCAAATTATTTTTAGTTAATCTTATCCTGTCAATATAAAGGAAAAGGATAGTTGAATGGAATATGTCCAAGTTTCCTGTGCTGGAACTGAAATGGGAAAGAAAATGAGATATGAGGGTCTTGAATATTCATGAAAAATGACTTTGAGTTTAGTCCAGAGAATGAGTCATTTTGAGTTACGCTCAAGTCCTGACATCAGAAGAGGTCTGAACTTGCACCCTGAATGTTCAACTTGCTAAAAGAAGGGTGATTTTTCCACAAAAGACAGGTGTCTGCATCTTTACACAATATTGTTGCTTCCCTTGGGAGATAGAAGGATAGAGACACCCTAAAGGTGAAGTTAGTTGATGTGCTTTGCTTACCCAGGTCTCTTAAGCCTGGAAGATTTTTAAATAGTTCTTGCTTTACAACAAGAGGTGTCATTAGGCAAAGACACAGAGTAAAAATTTTGTGTTGGATTACTCAAAAGTACTGCAAAGGGTACAGAAGCTGGTATCTAACAGATGGGCAAGGGAAGCTCTTGAGGAAAGGTTGAGATAAAACTCAGCTATAGCTATCAAAGGTCAGGACACAAGTGACAGAATCTTAGGAGAAATTAGAATCCAGTCATAGTATCTAAAAGATTGCCTGTGATAAATAGAAGAATTACTTATGGTGACCCAAGTTACTCTGATAAGAGCAGACAGGCAGCCATCTGCATGGTAGTGTTCCACCACAGAGCAAAGAGTAATGGTAAACATTTCACAGTGAAGACACTAAATCTGAATTGTATAATAGAAGTGGATTATTTTTGCTCATGTGGTATTTTCCAAAAATGGAAAAAAATATAGCTGTGTTAAAATCTGTCTCTTTTTCTGTGTATAAGAGTAGCAACAAACAGCAAGAATAGTATGGACTTCATGTAAGATCTAAACCAAACAGAATTAGCAATGTTACTGAAAAAAAATTTTTATGTATTCTTCCAAAAGAAGCAAATCTCTGGTATCTTCGTCAAATTTTTCTCATGATCAGAAGTGACTTCTTTACCAGGGAAGCAATTGTACCAGTGTGTGGGCTTGATAAACTTTTCCCCTCTACTGTTTTTTTATATAGAAAAAATGAACTAACACGGCTGATACTTGTACTTGCAATTTTCCTGGAGGAAGAGTTAAAAATTTTAGGTTGGGAATGGAGCAGTACATTTCAGTGTTCTCCAGATTGTGATATTTTATGTGAAAGTCTTAATATTTTGTTTCAGCATGCTTATGCTACAGTACATACTAAAAGAAACATATCAAGCCTTAATTTCTATAAAATTTGAGTAAATAGCAGATGATACAGAGTGCTGTTAGGATATGGTTTTGTACACCCTGTGTAAGATTAATCTCAGTTATCTGAAGCTGAGTTGAACATATCACATGGGGCAATTATTCTAACTTATTTTAGGCATTTAAGAAAAATTGCCTGATAGAGTTACCTGATCCTGTCTGCTGATTATAAGTAGTCTAGAGGGACCAATTTAGAGTCTTAGTTTAGCATTCATGTTCGTAAAAGAAAACATGATAATCTTATTTGTCAGTACATTAATACATATGATACAATCCAATGAGTTTAATGCAACTAATGCACTTTTAGAAACTATGTGAGAATCAACAAATGTAGATAATTTCCTCTAAAAGGCATACATTTTGAAATCTGAAATGTTTGCATTTCTGATTGTTACTGTCATTGGTCTTTTCTTAATATACCCTTTATCTGAGATATTGCTACTATTTCCCTGGGAAAAAACCCCAGACCAGTATAGAGGCCTAATTTATTAGATCTAGGTCAGATATAACTCAACTGAAACTAACACATCAATATCAGTGAGATCAAATAGCTACACTCATGACCATCTTTGCATTCTTTCTTTCTGAAAGTCTGCATCCTAGTTCACTGATATCAACATTCATTATGTAAAGTTCAAAATAACCATGATTTCTCTGTCCACACAGTATTCTGGGAAAAATCTTTGAAGGCTGCCCAAATGAAAAATTCATGATTATAACTACATCACTGATGCAAGTGGCAGGTTTTGAGTAAAAAGAGAACCAAGTTGTTTCCTTGAAAGCTTGTTGAAACCTTGATTTTGTGTATTGTCCAAGCTTTGTTCATTTACTGAAGCTCATAAAAAAATTATATTATTTACAGGAACATTTACTGTGGACGGGTGTATTAGAAAGCAGAATCTATATCATTAAAATAGATTTGGTTGTTGAGAAATTGTAAGACTTTAGGAAAAATTCAGGAAAAAATATTTAATTTCAGCTAAAACACATTTTAATAACAGTTATTGTGCAGTAGAAGCCAGCTGAGTTAATAAATTTTCTGAGAAAAAATAAGGGAGTTAGAGTTAGACTTTAGATATCAGTATTACTAAATTCATCACTATGGGAAAGACCACACAAAAGGTCACATCTGAAACCACTTTAAAAATTCCTGTGTGTTACTAAAACTACACATGATAATCTTATTTTAGAAGCAAAATAGATATTTTTCTAATTGAAAACCAGTTTATTTCAGCTCAAGTAAGATATCTACTGTCCTGCTCTCATGCCTTTTATATGTTTGTGGAAGATAAACTACAGGGGTTTTAGTAAGGATTCAGAAATAAATACTTCTAAGTAGCTACTCAGTTAGTTACTTAAAAGGGAAATCTGTTCTGGCATGCCCATAAGTCTAGACCATGAAGTGGCAGCACTGTTTTCACATTCACAGGTGTGGATTTTTTGAGGCACTGGTCGGTCACAAATAGTACTGATCAACTTGTAAATTCCAGCACCAGGACAGCTGACAGAAGGTCTCATGCAGAATAAAAGTCACAATTGAAAATCAGTTCTGAAACAGATGAAAACTGTAGTGAGGTGCTGCAGGAGTATTGCAGAGAGATTTATATTTCTTCAGAAATATATCTATCTGAATGCTGTCATTTGCAATCATTTCAGGATCTGTGTGTACAATTTCATGGAGTGGTCAAGTTCTTAGGCAGAATGTACAGACCTTATAAAACATTATTTGCAAAAAAACCACTTAAATATTAAGAAATCTGAAGGTTGTCTGTGCAGTATTAATTAATTTGATTGGTACATTTGTTTCATTCCCTCAGCTGTGAATCAGTGGTTGTTTATAAAATTATTGTATCTTCTCTGCTGGGACCAAGAATCAGTCAGAGAAAAACATATACTGAAAATATGAGAATGTGGTGTGTTTTAGTTTTGCTCTCTGTGAAGAATGCATTGTTCTGTTTGTTCTGAATGGGTATACTGTGAGTTTTGTTTGAAGCCACTTCATTCATGTGTCCAGAGAGACAGTAAAGCATTCTCTAGTAATCAGTCCTTTGTGATCTGAAATGTCCTGTCAGTCATATTTTTCCCAGGAGGAACTATGCTAGTTGAGCTAGTCAGTCCCCAAATGGAAGGTGTAGCAAGCCTTTCACACTCATCTGAGTTCCTCTTTGAGTTTTGCTCTTTGCCTTTTGAGACAAAGGCACTGCTACTGTGCCTGATCTTACAAAAACAGGGGTATATTATTTGAAAATTGAAGTAGACTAAATCTAATCTAAAAGGTTTTTACCTCTTTTGAAGAATGCCATTGGATTTGTGTTTAAAGTCATAAAATACCCATACAGATTACTTCCCAGTCAATATAATTTATCCACACAACCATTCATTTTATTATTTTGGATAGTTTCCACCAACTTGTGCTGTGAAGAATTCAGGTTTACTGCTCTTTAGTTCCTCTTCTGCAGTTCTTCTGGAAACCTTTTTAAATCAGTGTCATATTGACCATTTTGCAGTTGAACAAAGAGAAAAAAATTAGAAAAATCTTTGAAATCTAAGGAAGTAATGGAGCCAAATCTTGCAGGACTTGCTAGTCCAAGTAGAATTGCATGCTATTGAATCTCTGTTAAGCAATATTGTCACTACTGCATACTTATTTGGTAGTGCAATAGGGTAGAATTAATAAGCACATACTCCAAGACCATTTGAAAAACTAGAATATGGTAATGTCAAACCACTGAATTTAAATATTTGTAACTTTTAGAGTACTCAAACTACTTTAATAAATGTAATTTAATATTTACATCACAGTTAAATTGTCTAAGTAATTATAAAATCTTAGATTTCTATTCCTCATACTTGTAAAGTAATTTTTGATCAATAATTGAACCATGTAGCAAATAAACAAAAATAATTTTCAGAGTATAATAGAGGTGTTTCTGTGAGTGCATTCTAACAAGGATGTTTTCTGTTTCAGAAATAAAATTTCTGTTTCACTCAGAAATTAACTACTGGTTGGAAGAAAGTAATCCTTCTCCTATCTGCTAAGGGATACAGTGGATGCACCCTTCTTTAGCTCCTCCTGATTTGGATAATATGGTATATATTTCACTGCACTTCCTATTATAAGACCTTTGGCATTATGCTATTGTGTGACTTAGTGTGGTACTTTCTTGTTGATTAATGGGGGAAAAAAGAGAAGCAAAATGGAATCTAATCTCATGTTTTTCCCTTGAAAATATAGTGAGATACTGCAGCAATGGGACTTCAGTTGCCCCTGTTGACATTGGCTCAGGTACTTGTGAAGTTTTCTATCTCCAAGCTTGCATATGTGATTACATATATGTTTTATTTGCCTTATGATAATTTTTCTATTTAATATTAACTCTCGCTGTTTCCCTGTGATATCAAGTTGCTCTACTTTTTACAGATTAGTAAGGCATATGTGTATATTAATAGTATTACATCAGAATCTAGCCTAACACACAGACTTCTGTTTCAAGTGCAGTCTTACTGTCATGTCAGCATAATTTGTGGTGCTAATAAAAAGTGACCACTTTAAAATAGGTATCTCTGTTTCCGGGCTTAAAAATCTACACTTTTGAAGGCAATCCCTCAGTTGTATCTCTCCACTGCTTACACACTAAGATTGTGCCTTAATTTCTGGAAGTTCAGTTGATTTAGTAAGTATTTCAGCAATAAACACATTAGAAATTTTTTGTTGCATTTTTAAAATAGGAGCCACAAATCCTAGAAGTGTTTCTGTACAGGAAGGAAATGGTAATGTCAATTAAAATAATAAAAGAGAATTGAGCTTAAATATGAAAATATAAGGCTGTTTTTCACATATGAGTAGGTTAAATTTGGGCCTGTCTGTCTAACATCTAAAAATATTTTGAAATTAATTATTTTGTTGTTGCCTTAAAATAATTGGTAAAACATATGGGATAATGAATATAATATTTTTCTTTCTTTCTTTCCTGCCATTTTAAATTTTAAAAAAATATTTTTAGTGCTAAATGGAAAGGACAGGGTACAGCATCTCTGTTTCTATGTATTCTTTATTTATCTTCTCTCTAAATAGCCATTCTTAAGTCCTACTGTGCAATAACCAATGCTCTAAATAATGTGAAACAGAATAAAAAAATTGAAGGAGTAGTGCAGCTTGCCCTGAGAGGTGATAGGTGCTCCATCCCTGGAAACATTGGAGGTCAGAGGGGATGGGGTTCTGGTCAATCTTTCCAGTTGAAGATGTCCTTGCTCATTCCAGAGGTGTTGGACTAGGTGACTTTTAAAAGGTCACTTTCAGTCCATTCATGAAAGATTACAGCTGTTGCATTGCCACTGGTTTCTTTTAAGGTTCTAGGCTGCAATTGGATCCTCACCAAGATATTCTCAAGCTGTTTCATTCTAACCAGTTACACTCTAACCAGTAAATGCTACACTGAATTTACCACATCAGGATAGCGCTACTCTCACAGAGTTCAAGCTGGAGATCATAAAGAAGTGTGGATTTTGGACACAGAAAGAGCTAAGCTAAACCAAAGGGACCATGGAGGCTGCACAACTTAGAGATTTGTGCTTGTGCTGTATTCCTGTTATGTATCAAGTACTGTTTACGTCCCAAATACCAGTGGGGTTTAGGTGACACAATATGCAAATAATGAAAGGGGGGAGGGTGCCTGGGTAAGTGACATCTCCTCTGAAAAACAGGTTGTATTTTTCTAACAGAGGGGACTGGTGTTTTAATTTCCCATGATGGTCACGTAGATTTCATCAATCCTGTTTTCCAGAGTGTTGCATTGCCTCGGGCGACTCAATTGATTTTAAGAGAGTCACTGGCAGCAGTGACACTTTCTGTGGTGTTGTTGGTTGCTATGCCCATGCACCATGGACATATGCATATCTCCTGACAGCTTTTCTTCAAATACACACCTCCTGCTTATTCTAGGTTGCCATCCAGTCCTTTTGTAATGGCTTCTCATCTGTATACATTTTACAAATAAAACATCCCTTTATGCATTGCCTTTTACATATTCCAGTTTCTACACACCTCCTAGTAAATATTAATATAAAATATTAGCATTCAAAATAATGTAACTAATTTCACAACTCTATTGATAGTGATTGTATAGGAACATTTGCTGGTCAGACTTTGCACCAGTAATCAGAGGATTGAACATGGAATTGCCTGTCATAAAATCTGTATCCTGGACACTTTGTAAATAACAAGATGCAGTGCTACTGTAATCTAAGGAATTAATTTACTCCTTTGTGGTGCCAAACGAGTGCAATGGACCAACTTTTGCTTATTTAGGAAATAGAAATTTAAAAAACCCCACAAAGTAAAAGTGGACTGAAGCCCTCTGGTTTAGTTAGTCCAGTCTGTTCTGATTTTTTTCTACAGTCTCCCTCTTCCAAAGGAAAGGCACTGACAAAAAGTTATAGGGAATGTATCCAACCAGTTTGCTTTACACACCTGCTTTGCAACATTGGGTGCTCAGGATCATTCTCTTGACTGAGGGAGTGTGGGGAGATTAGCAGCCAAGGTAGGAAGCACCAGTGTCTCAGTCCTAATGCTTCCTTCTTGTCCACTTGTCTTTCAGTCTGCTTCTTTCTCTGCAACCAGCCATCTCTGTGGGCTGGTGTGGAGGGGTGTGGGAGGAAAAAGGCCAAATTAATGCTTCCTCCTGCACATACATACTCACAGCAGAGTGGCTGGACAGGAACTATACCACTCTCAGAGCCGCGTTTCTGATGCAGGCAGCCTGAGTGCACTCGCTCAGAGTAAAAGGCACTTCCCCTCACTGTTTGTGTCAGAGTATTAGTGAAAATCTATTCCTTGTGGTGAATCATTTCCCAAAGGAAGTATAGGGATTTTTTTTTTTTTTGTATATCCTCCTAGTGGAGTTGATGAGAAAAACCAGAAGCCGGAGTGTTATTTTCAATGGGAAAACAATAGGAGGGAAGTTAGGTAAATGAAAAGGAGGAAGGATAGACTGAGGAAAGGGAAACCACAACACAAGCAAGACGAGAAAGAAATAAAAGTAAGGAAACCTGTATCTTAAACAACTCCAAAACACCAAGGGAACATTTAATTATCTTGTGTTTATCCATCTCTGCATATTGGCACAATCACCGTTTTCACTTCTGTCATTGGTATTCTACAGCTTCCAAAAATATAAAGGTGAGCTCAGCTAGTCTACATGAGAAAAATAAAATAGGAAACAGAGTAGCATTATGAGGGAAATTATTTTATTCAGTGAGTGAATGAAGGGAAAGAGGGAAAAGAGCTTCACTGCTTTAATTTATGCCTCATGAGCTATATCCATCTGGAGCTTTGCCTCAACAGAGTTTCAAGGTGGTGGAAAAATGGAATCTTATTGCCCTCAATAATACAGAAATCGTAGATCTGTTCCCCTTGATGGGATGTTGAGATACATTTTAGAAATAATATTCAAGATATTAATTTTTGTCTATACTTCAGATGTCTAGAAGTTAAACTTTATATAGAGACCATTGTCATAATTTTGTTAACTCGTCTTATTCAGCCTCAGGTACTCCTGTAATTTCAAATCTGACTGAACAGTTAAGAAAAACTTGAGAAAAAAAAATCAGGTTTATTTACTTCTGGAATCCCTGAGGGAAAAAAAAAAAGTCTATATTTTCAAGGTTAAAAATGTAATTCATACATTGCTTACAGCAGTATTTCACCTACACTTTTTAGCTGGGTTGATTTGTTAGAGAGGCAATTGTAAAATGGAAAAATAATAAGGTCAAGAATGAAGTTGTTTTATTTATAGCATGAGGTCATTTTAAATTTTTGAAATGTGCTAAAACATGATTCTAACCAGAGATGGCATTTGCTAATAGCCCAAGGGATTTTGGCCAGTGTCTCATTGCGTTTCATAGTCATCTGGAGTGGTCACAGCCAAGGAAGAGGCTCAGCCCTGAGGTTGTTTACTTTCAACACTGGCAGAGCATTGGTCAGAGATTCAATTCTTTGTAAAAATGTCCCTGTTAGAGACATAGTTCAGTGTGTTGCTGTGGATGTATAAACTCATAGCTGGAGTGGCTGGAGGGGTCATTGTGATTCTCTGTTCTGGACCTCTTTGGGGCTTATTTCTGTTTTGTGCTGAGTGTTTATCATAACACACATAAATGTTCTTGGGAGGAAAAGGTAAGGGTACAAATCACTGGGCTTTGGACATTACATCTGCATGATGCGCAGCACAAACACAAGCCCTTTTCAGCTGTTTGACCAGCATCCTGCCACTGAGTCCTGCAAAGCTAAACTGATGTGCAGTTAACTTAAAAAAAACACAAGACCCCATTCTTTAAAAACAAATATTTACTTGTTTGTCTTGTTTTTTTTTCACATCTTCATCTCCAAGGCTCTTATTTTTGGAATCCTGTCTCCTAATAACTCATTATTATCCATGTTGTGCTTTTTGCTTTGGATAAAATTGTTTTTCCCCACAGGCTAATATTGATTGACAGCTTTCTCATCTTTAAATACTCCAAGTGTACTCCAAATAACCATTTTTGCTTTGTACAGTCACATGCTGTGCACAAAATGTTAATTTATGTAACTGCGTTACCAGATATTTCTTTGCTCTGCATAAGTGACTTCAACAAAATTCATGATATTAAGTACTGAATTTATATTAATATTTTGGCAGTGCACTTTGGAATTTACTGCATTTTTAGAGATATCTGTCTTTAAAAAGAGAAAATTATTCCTATGTATTAAAACACTCAGTGTTTCCAGACTGGCTTCAAAGGCATGAATTATGCATCATATCTTCCCTGTGCCAGAGTAGAAAATAATGGTTTTCCTCTTATTTGAGTGGTTATAACTGGAGAACTAAATGAATGCAAAATTTAGCTTTTAATTTTGTTTCAAAAATTCAGCTATTAGTCTTTGAGGCTGAATGAAGTATATAGGGGTATTTCTCCCCATTTACTACTCCATATTCAAACAGTTGTGACCTACAGGACTTCTTGAGCCTTTTAACTACATGTCTGATTTTTAATTCCATGAATTTGTCCAGCTGATCTTTATGCATTTATGGTTTTGATATTTAGAATATATTGTATTAAGAAATTCTACCATGCAAATCTACCTCCTAATTTTTAAAAACTCAAGCTGCGGCAACACAAATTGATTAACCATTAAATTAAATAATAAACCAAGATTTTGGGAAAAGAAAAACTGCCACAGAAACATTAAAAGGCATGTATTTTATTTAGCTGCTACTAGTGGAGAATTGACAGCTTTTGTCAAAGCAGTGTCCAACTTTTAAATATTGTATAGTGAGCTGCCTGGATAATAGATTGAAGACTAGTTTGAGTATATTATAGTGAGAGTATTTCCTGTATACATGACATGCCTCATAACCATTCATCAATCTCTGATTTTTCTCTTCTTGAGAAAATGAAATAGAAATCTTCTTTTTAAGTGGTTTATCTCTGTATTGTGAGAGAAATGGGGTCAGCTGTGGCTGTTAAAAATTCCATAGAGAACCTTTACTTTACAGTAATTTTCATCAGGCCCTATTGATTTCAATTCCTTACACATTAAAAAAAATTTAAATACTTACATTTAAATAACCTTTATCCTTCATTTCCTCTTCTGAAAGATGTGTTCCTACTACCTTGTAATTAGACTTTTTATTTATGCAAAATTACATCAAGATACTTTTTATTTTAAATGGAATAGTGAAAATAGCCATCAACTATTTCTACTTTGTACCTACATACTTCAACTATGATTTTGTACCATACTGCAGCAATATATCATTACTTACAGTGGGTATTTTTTTTATTTTTGAAGCATGAAAAAGAGTCTGATATAATAATTTGGGATATACTTCTTAGTTTTCTTGTGTATTGGAATAATTATTGTGTTAAAACATAATTGTTTTTATGCTATCTTTTTTAGCTGCTAGTTTGATGCACCATTTCTTCCTTTTTAGATTTTTTTTAAATGCAAAAAATTACAGAGTGAATGTAGGTCACATGTCATGACAACTGCTTGCTTCCATGTCCTTGCTTACACCTGAATCTGCAAAGAAGAAAAAAAAATTGTCTGCTCTGAAAACATGTTCAAAACTGAAATGAGAACAGACAGAAACCAATGTTCTTCAGCATTTCTGTACTTACTGTAACTCATGGACATCACACTAATAACAACAGTTGTTGGTAGGCTCAATATTTGCAACAGCTGTGCATGGACGTTATGTGCCTGCCATGTCTCTGTGTCTGTGAAAATTGTGGCCCATACATATTCTTTTAACTAAGGAATCAATAAAACTGTCCTGACTGTATTACTAGTTTTACAGAAAAATATGGGGGGATGCCTTCAACCTATAAATTGATAAAAAATTCACAACCCACTTTCTGAGGCTTTCTTAATATTCCTACATATCCATCTCCTTCTAAGTCTAGTTAGTGCCTATTGACTGGTGATCCTACCTGGAAATCCCACACTAAGCATGTACTTTGGATTTATTGTGTTGTGTGTGGATGACAGCCATGGGGTGGAACTCTTACCAAAAATCAGTAAAAATAAAACTCCATAACACCAATGTAGGATTACAAAGCAGGCATTCTTTATTTAGCTGGATGCAAGAGGGGGTATCCATTGTGAGGAGGTAAGTTGTGCATACTGAGCTTAAAAAAACTCCCGTTTATATGCTATATTTTACATATGTATCCATTGATTTCCTGGAATAAATATGTGTATAATAAACATTTTCTCCAAAAAATTAACATGTGTTTTATCCCCTCTGCTTATGTTCTTCTGTCCTGGGGATT